TTTTTTTTTTTTTTGCTTACTTGGATCCGGACATACAGCCGTATATAAATGCCACGCAGCTTATTTAAGAAGTGTTGAGTGAAGGGATGCTACAAACGCGTGTCGTCTTTATCCGCTGAGGGGTTTCTGTTCTGAAGGACTGGGGCTCACCTTCCAAAGTACCTCGTTTACAGTGTTTTGTGACCATTTTACCCATTTTTATTTGTAATTTTTCTTTCCATCATGCTTGAATTATTTAAATCTGTCTCGGCTGTAAAATAATCTGGACTATTTTTAGTGCGCATCAGATAATGTCACTTTTTCCACATTGTACTACTGTAAATTATTGTATAAAGTAAATCAAATGGGCTTTTCTCAGGCTGGTATTTTTTTAACTATTTCCCCATCGACTCAGGCTATTTCTTCTCTTCCTTGGTTTTTTTTACGTTTCTTTCTCAGTAGTTTTGAATCATGAAATGGGGTAAATATTCCACGTGTATTCGTTCTGTAGGATCGTTTGGTTTGTTGATCTCCTCTTTGGTTTCTCTCTATCTGTAAGTGAATTGGCCTCACTTTATAACAGCATCATGTCAAAAAATACAAGCTGTGTAACAAAAAAAGGACATGAAAGGGTCGATCGTAGCTAGAGGCACTTATGAGCTCTCCTTAGAACATTTCCATGATGATGTTTTCTATAAATGTTGGCAATAATGTAATATTTTCTATGCAGCCCGAGTGTTTTTCTGATGACTGGCCCGAGTAAGTCAGAATGCTGTTACAGGACATACTGATGTACATAGATCTCCTTCTATATTTCAAATCCAAATTTACACTGAAAATGCATGGATTTTTAGAGTAATTGTTTTATATAATTGTTTATAAAGTCATTAAACTCAAATCACTGTTTTCACCTGTAATCTGGCTTTAATGTAATTTAGTGTGCTTTCAAGTACATTTTACGATTCATGATTCAGAAGCATTTGATGATGATTGTCTGTACCAATTAATACAAGCTTCTTTTTGGGTAAATTTTACAAACTGTCGCTGATGGTGTTGCTTATTTCAGTATGATAGATTTTAATGCCAGGAAACTTGAGTCTGTCACTTTTGTCATCAATGCATTGCCTCATTTACCATTTTAAAGTATGTTGCTTTGACCTTGAGCCTGCTGTTTGATGCATGGGAACTACAACTGTACATGCCAGAGAAAAAGCATGGAGTTTTGCCATCTGCATGATGTTCTGCTCTTGCTCAACTCTTGCTTTCAGACTCGAGTGCAAATGCATTTCTTCTGTCCTCTTGCACAAGTTGACTTGTGTGGTTACAGAAATGAGCAGAAGTGAAAACATTGCCGATGACACCAATTTACACTATTTCACAAGTGAAAAACCTACAGCATGCTCTCACTAGTTGAGTATAGGAAGAAAAGCTTGCTTGTTAACCCAGCTTACAGCATCTCAATTATTGATTGTTAACAGACTGAGAGAAGTGATGAGACCGTCAAGCCCATGTCTTCCGATAGTTTAATAGTTGACGTCAAATGCATGATTCATATGCTTACAGTTCCATTGATGTTACCAGAAGAGACATTTCTACAAACAAAAATCATTTCACACATAAATACATTTTAGAATGCATAATGTTAAATGAGCTTAAGATGCAAGATAAACTATTTGATGACTTTCTACTACAAGCCAAAGGCTTATGCCGTCTATAGGAAAGATAAGGAAGTTTACTGAGACTGAAGCACTGCAGGGTGAGCGTCACTGGATATTTTGTAACATGATCTATGTCTTACCCACAACTATGGTAACTTGGCTGTCTGATGTAATCTAATATGGCTGTCACAGGTTTAAAGACAGGCAAAGGGAGTAACAATAACGACCCACTTCCAGGCGTTTGAAAAATAAGAGCATATAAAGGCAACATTTATTCAGGCGAGCGTCATCCTGTAGGACAAGAAGCAGTTGAAATGGCTGTGGGTTTTAGTAGGTCTTTTTCTCCTCGAATATAATGTTGGCAGTGGCTTTCTTGGCTGCAAGACAAAAAAGACTGGATTAACAAGAGTTCATAACTGATTTTAAAGACTGCAAGGAAACACAGAGCTTGGACATATCACTGATGAAACGTCACCTGTCAGTGAAGATCCCTTATATTCAAATGCATTTTTAATTGCTATTTCTCCAATCAGAAACCAACTCAACTGACAAAAACAGCAAATGCATGAACTGCATCTGGTTTTCACCTTCATCTCTAAACTTGTCTGCCGCCTCTGATGCTTTATCCGTGATGTCTTTCATCACATTGTCGATCTTGGCTTCATTCTTTAAGAAGAAGGGCCGGATGATCCTTGTGTAGATCAAAACAGAGCCGTTTGATGGAGTGGGAGCCATGCACCAAACCAAGAAAGCACACTAGCGAGCCAAAAGAGAAGCAAAGCCATTAGTCTACACCATATTAGAAAAGCATTCATTTTACAAATGAAAATATTAATGTTGTGGCCACTGTCCATTCACACAGTTGTTCTTTTAAGGGTTCAAGCACAAAATGCACTAAAAGTAAACGCGTTTGGGCTGTAACTCCTCGATCGTCAATCTTAAGGCACCACAAACTGAGGGGCCTTAAATCACTGGATCAAAAGTGATCAAAATCAGGTTGAACTGTAGTTCAGTGTGGGCACGTCTAGCCCGAACGTATTTATCAGAAGACACCACCTTTAAATGGCTATAGCTTTTGATAGCATTGTGATATTTTCAGAAAATGTATGTCTCTCCCATCTAATTTCAATAGGTCAATAAAGTCAGTAATGATCAAAAATATGTTAATAGGAAAATAAGGTTTGGCACACTTAAGAGGATGGTCTCTACACCATACTGAGAACCACCAACCTTTTCTTTTAGTTTTAAACTTTGAATCCTTTGGTCTAGAAACATCACGATTCTTCTTCTGATTTGTATCTTCAGGGTAATTTTAATGAACTAAATTCTATTAATTAAAACCTGTGCGTTTATGATTTAACATTAATCAAATATTCTTCTCTCTCAGTCTTCTCTTCATACTGGCCCTGCACTGACTTGATGACTATTCCTTTAATCTAATATTTTCTGTTATTCTTATTAGTTGTTGCATTTGTGATGCTTATCAATCATTTAAAAAATGGTTTTACTATTTATTATAACTATCTCAAAAATCTAAATTCCCCCATTCTTGTCATGCACCAATCTTTTTTTGTGTGTATTTTTCATTAAATAACAATTACAGGTGAAATTTTGTTGCCAGGGTTACTTTACGAATGCACTGAAAAGTCCAAATCAACACGACTGACATGTTATTACAATAAAATGCATTTAACTGTAGCTAACATACTGTTATGTACTGTACGATACCTTTCCCAGGAAGTAGAAGGGGAACCAGGAGAAGAAAATGTCAGCGAAGAACTCGGCGACGCTGAACACGCCGTAAACCACCCAGTAGGTCAGCCATTTGGTGTCGTCCTCTTTGGTTGCGCTCTCGATGGCTTTGATTCTGCAAACACATGAAGAGTCACAGTCTGATATGATGACCTGAAGTCTGCGTTCTCTACACACCGTTTGTTATTTCAGATTTACTAATATTAGATAACAGACGGACGATTGTTCATTTAGAGCATTAGATAACTGCTTCTCTTGTCTTGGGAGAAGACCAGGATGTTTAAACCCTGTTTGTGTGTGTGTGTATGTGTGTGTGTGTGTAAATATACAAATAACCCTAACAATGCTTTATTTTTCAGGTACAGTAGGTGTATTTAGTAGTAGCATTCAAGAAATTGTATTAATAAAACACTATTAAAGTTCTTCAGTCAGAGCAGTGAATGGTTTTTCTCTTTTTATTGTATTTGTTTTGTTTGTTTTATTAACATTAAATGGATAGTTCACCCAAAATTTACAATTATGTCATCATTTACTCACTGTCAAGATGTTTTAAGCCTGAATGAGTTTCTTTCTTCTGTTGAACATAAGTTGCTGGTCCCCAGTGACTTCCATAGTATTTTTCTCCTAATATCAAAGTCAATGGGGACCAGCAACTGTTTGGTTACCTACATTCTTTAAAATATCTTCTTTTGTGTTCAGCACAAGAGAGAAATCAATAC